TAGCTGAAGTGTTATCCATCTAGCTGGCTAGCTAGCCGTACAGCAAACTGCAGCACACCAACAGGCCTGGCCAGCAGCAGCAGCAGCAGTAGCAGCAGCAGCAGCAGCAGCAGCAGCTGCTGCTGCTGCGACTTGGAAATCAGCGCACTGAGTGTTTATTGCCAACAAGCGCAGAGGGAGCTGTCTAGCTAGCTGCGTAGCTAGCTGTGTAGCTAGCTGTCTAGCTAGCTGTGTAGCTAGCTGCGTAGCTAGCTGTGTAGCTAGCTACGTCTATCTACCAGGGCAACCAGCTAGCGAGCATATAAAGAAATTAGCTGCGGCTGTGGGGGGGCCGTCAGCAGCCATAGGCCTTCAGCAGCAGCAGCAGCAGCAACAGCAGCAGCAGCAGCAGAAGCAGCAGCAGCAACTGCAGCAGAGTGTATCTACAGCCCGCGGTGTCTGCTAGCGCCGTTGCTGCTAGTGCTGCTGCTGCTAATGCTGCTGCTGCTGCTGTTGTTAGAGTGTGTCTCATTGATCCTTTATGGCAGCAACTGCTGCTGCTGCTGCACACACAGCAGCAACTGCTGCTGCTGCTGCAGGCACTGCAGCAACTGCTGCTGCTGCTGCTGCCTCTTTGCCTTGCTTCGTCCCGCTGCTGTCTTTTCAGAATTGCTGCAGCAGCAAACATCAGCAGCAGCAGCTAGCAACAGCAACAGCAAGTATCAAGAACAGCAGCAGCACAAGCAGCAGCAGCAGCAGCAGCAGCAAAAGCAGCAGCGACTGCAGCAGTAGAGAAGGTGCTTGATGGAACTACCACTCGAACGGCTGCTCCTAACAGCAGCAGCAGCAACAGCAGCAGCAGCAGCAGCAGCAGCAGGCTGCAGCAGCTGTACACAACTACACTTGCTGCAGCGACAGCAGCAGCAGGAGCAGCAGCAGCAGCAGCACTAGCTGCTGCTGCTGCGACCTCATTATTCTTTTTTGTAGGTTACAGTAGCAGCAACCACTGCAACAGCAGCCTATAACAGCAGCAGCAGCAGCAGCAGCAGCAGCAGCAATAACAGCAACAGAAGCAGCTGTAGCAGTAACAACAGCAGCAGCAGCAGCAACCCGCACAATTAAAATAAAATAAAAAATAAAAAAAATAAAAACAAATGAAAGACAGCGGCTATAAGGTACAGGGGGCCTCCTGTATAGGGCCCCAGGGCCCCACGAAGCTGCTGCTGCTGCTGCTGCTGCTGCTGCTGCTGCTGCTGCTGCAGTTGCTGTTACTGTATCTGCGTATC